GTAATTACATATTTTCATTGTAAAGTTATGTTAAAAGAGAATTGATAATTAGATTTATAATTTAAAGATATATTTTCTATATATGCATATATTGACTCTTAAATTTTCTTTAAAAGATGTATATTATTTTATGAAGAAATAACTATAAAATATAATCTTTTATAATATAAATAATTGTGTATCTATAGCATATATTATTTTTCCATTGAATTTTAATTTCATATTTTATTTTTTATTTCGGTGTATTTAATATGTATTATTAAAAACCTCGTTTTTTCAAATTTAATAAGAAAAAAATTGAAATATGAACTCTTAGAAATTTATATTAGAATAGTGTATATTTTTACTTGATTTACTTATTACATTGGTTTTTAAGATTAATATATTATATTTTCAATGTAATTTGAAATATAATTTTTTATATATGTTGAGAACAGTATTAATATCCAAACACAATTTTTAACAGTACTTTTTAACTTATCATCAATTCTACAATATTTAAAGAGACAATTATTTTTTTATAATCTCTGTATCAATAAACTATATCTCGAATTATATTTTAATTAGTTTGAGAAATATATATCCTTAAATTACTTTTCAAAACTACTTCTTCTTTTAAAACATATGTGACAAATTTTGTTGATCACCCCAAATTATATTTTGGAAAGAAAGAAATTTTAGCTATAGCATTATTATACGAAAAATTTGTTGAAAAACAAAGATACATATCCATAGATTAATTATAAAAAATAAATACAAAATGATTACAATTGAATTTTCTTCTATTTTTAATGTTATAGTAATGATTTAAAAAATAAATAAAATTGTAATTTGAAAAAAAATATCAAATTAGGTAGGATTTTAAATCGAGCATTGCAAGTATAAGGAAAAGGTATTTTATGTTAAAAATGAAAATAAAATAGTTAACAATTTGTATTAACACCAGCACCAATGAGCATTTAATAACGATAAAACTGTGATGTAAATATAAATACCGGAATTAATAATTACAATTACCGCGACTACCATAAACAATATTCAGTCAAAAATCGACAAGTGAGCTATTGGTTATCATTCGCACGTATATATCATAAGCGATGTAATAACTGTCCTGAATTTTACCAGAGGAACAATAATTTTCAAGTTTGTAATATCTTTACATAAAATTGTAAGGCATATGTAAATTGTAGCTATGCATTCTTAACGCGCGATTAATATTGATATGTACCAGTACGTATATGTATTGTTTAATAATTTTAATGTAATATCTCTTATTTTGAAAATTCTTCAATAATATGTAAATGTAACTTCATACATATACATGTCTACATTATATCTAATAATAAAAATTATTTTTAGAATTTGTTTAAACTAATAGATAATTATAATTCATTTTATACATGTCCAATAGAACGTTACAAATTTTTTATAATTTTATTTATAACGAACAATAACGAATTTTAATAAAATTATTAATTTATATTCGTAAAACGTACAATGGGCAATATCATCGCGTGCAAGTAGCATAAAAATACAGTATATACTTAAATAAGAATTAGTAACCTGTATTTGAATAAAATGATATTTTTACTTTCTATTTGTCCAATTTAGAAACAATAAAACTTTTTGAATACATGACTATTCTCCAATATTCTGAGTAAAAATTTATAAAACTTATTTACTAACGAAAAAGGTTCATTTAACTTCCATGATTTTAATTTTCATCAACTTTGACTCTACAAAGGCCTCTGTAATTCTAGACTGTAATCGTGCCTTTCTATATTAATTTTCACGCGGTTCGATTGATGGTGATACCGCACTTATTTATATTGACTATACTTGTTTATATTTGTACAATAATACATTCATATATATGTATACTAATACATACATGTATGTATATTTTAATACTTTAAAAATATATTCCCATCTACATCAAATAGTACGCTTGCTTTATATAAAATACTCAAATAATGGAAAATGTAAAGGATCATTTTTCCCTTACAAGATTCAGTCTCTGATACTCGCATAGAAGCCTGTAAGTTAATTCCACATCAACTTTATCAGATGATTTTAATGAAATTTGATAACACAATGATAAAATTCTAATAAAGATGGAATATTTTCAACCACATGGAATAAATTTTTAGGGCACCTGTTCTATAGATACTAACATATAGAGTACTATATAAGCAATAGATTATCTAAATCATTCATTCAAGAACATGTGTAAATATAAGTTTCAACTTTGCTGCAAATCCTGAAATATTTTATAAATTTAATTCCTATTATTTGATAAATAACAGACAAGTATAATATCTACTATATCAAAATATAACGGTGAAATAAAAATTTTGCTACATCAAATATATGTATAATATATGTCACGTATATGCCATAATAAACAAAAACAACAAATACAGCATGCAGACAATTTTTTCAACATTCTCTCGTGAATAAATATTTCAATATCTAAACATTCTATAACAAATTATTCTAAGATATATTTCAGTATCATGCAGCAAAGGTATATCAAATCACTAATAATAAACAGCACATGTAAAATTAAACAGGACTTAATCTACTAATTAATGCCTAATTATTAATAATTATTGTTTTCTCCTTAATAATCCCATGAACTTATCTTGAAAGATATGCATTTCTTCATTGTTAATAACAAAGAACTAAGGAAATGCTATTTAATCTTTACTTTTTTTTTACCTACTTTACAAAAATTGTAGAATATCATTATTCAATCACAAAGATGATTAAACTTTTTATAACTATATAATTATGCAACTACAAAGTCCTTAAATAATTTACAATGGACCATAAACATATAATATTATTAAATCACCATGATGAGTGGAGCGCTTTTAAAACGCAAAAAATGTCCCGTTGCGCTGATTTGTGCTTCTGTGCTTGTATTTAAGATAAGATCTCATATCCTGCATTACAGTTCCATATACATCTAACATTTTTCAATAATACTAATTTCATATCATTTTTTTCGTGCAAAACTAACTGTAGTAGGGAAGCACTTATTATTAGTAATATTATTGCGTCTTTTTGTGTTTTTTTCATAGACGAATACCAACAATTGCCGAATTAATTATAGTTATAATAGAAAAGTGAAACTATTCTTACATTTTAAATTGTCAATGTAAATGCAGCTTTCTAAAGTCTGCGGTAATTCTATTTTCTACAATCAACCCCTGTAAAAGCATTTTCTGTTCTTTTAAGACTTTGAATAACATTTAACAAAATGCTTTATATCCAGTAGTAAATAAAAGTAGTATACTACATTTCTTTGAGTATCTATAACTCACTTTCATGCTTACATTACTTATAATACATTATACATGTAAGGCATAATCTTGATTCGTTCAATTTACATTATGTATAAAAGATTTAAGACAAGTCTGCCTGATTTGTTCCCACATGATTTGCAAGTAACATAAATATTCATTTAAAAAGTACAACATTCGTATTACAAAATGTTACTGGGAACGCATATTATCTAGAATTATCACTTTAACAAATATGTTTACAGATGCATTACAACTTAATCTATAGAACTGTTCTGGACGTGAAATTAATCACGTATTTTATGTGACAATCATCGTAATTATACGAATCTTAGTTTCCAATAAATTGCAATTTATATTCCACTTTTATGTAAAATAATTGTAATAACATTTATCTAATAGAATATCAGCAAATTTTTTAACTTAAAATGTATAATACCCAGTAATTGAAAATATTTCTGTTTTTAGTTTTTTGTGAACACATGATTATGCAATATATTTTTCATTGATCATTATGCTTTGACATTTACAATATGCAGTTGTTTACTGTTGCACCCTGTATAATTAGACTGCTTTGCACAGAAAGTAGAAAATTTATCTCCATTTTTATTAAATAAATAGATTGTTTATAACAAGCCCTGGTTGTTTTTAACTTCAAGTTATTTTGTTTACTCCTGCTGTTTTTGCTAATATCGGCCTTTATTTATTAAAAAGATTTCATTGAAATGCAGGGAAAAATGCTGGATTTACATGCTGCTGTTTCTGCTGCTGAGGCTGGATGACGGGTGATGTGTATCCCATTGTTGTTGTTGCTAAAACAATTATATTTTTTAATATAAATCAATATTATTACAATATAATATCCTTTTAATTAAGTTGTTTTACTATATCTTATAATTGTACATAAAAATAATTATATTTCATCAATAATATATATTTATATACATATATATACATATATACACAAATATATTTCAACAATAATTTTAATGACAATAATGAAAAATAATTTGTTTTTTAAAATAAAATAAATATAATTCTATTTGAAGACTTCAATTATATGTTTAACATTGATTTTTTTTATTTCTTAATAAACAAAATTAAACAAATTAAATTTTATATATACATTACTTACGTATAAGTTTAATTTGATGTTGTGGGCTATTGCTTGCCAATTGATTCATTGTTGGTGCAGGTCCTATTTGTTTATCTTTACTTCCCATTATATTATCAAGATCTATATTTAATCCTGAACCAGCCCATGTAGAACCAACTTGCGTGGATGTATTACTCGATGTTTGATTTTTGGAATTGGTAGATGTAGGGGTAAGAAGAATTGGTGATAATCCAATTGTTCCTAAATGTAATATTCCTTTTAGTTTTAATAACTCTTCTTTTTAATATTTTGTTTGATTTTTATTTTATTTTTATTTGCATATAATTAATTCATTAAATTATAAAATAGATAAAAATCTGTAAAAATTAGTTGTACATTAATATATTTGTTGCTTGTTTATTTAATGTATAATATTAAATTATTACAATTTTTCTTTAAATTATAAAAATTTTATGAACTATGTAATATAACATAAATTACATTTTTTTAATGATATTTGAACTCTCATTTATTTTAATAAATAAAAGAAAAAAGAAAAAAAATTCTTATAATGTTTTATTTTATATTGTGTGTATTTAAAAATGTTTTTATAGATATATCTAAATCTTATTAACAATTATGTACTGAATGTTGAACTTATAATGGAGTCAATCAAGGATACTACTCCAGCACCTAAGCTTCTGCATTCTTTGTCATGATCTCCACTAATTACATTTTGAGATAAATCTAAAAGCCATAGCCTTATTTCAATAATAGTTTCAAATAATTCATTTATAATCATATCTTTTGGCACTGCAATAATAACAGATGCAATATTTTGTATCACTGCTATTCTAACTTTTGCTTGATCATGATATCTTAGAACCCATGATAATTCCAAGACTTCTTTTCCCATTTTAGAAACGAGTAAACAATTCTGTGCTGCTATCATTATAGTAGATAAAGTTTCCAAAAATCGAATTAATAAAATATTTTCTTGGTCTGTGAAAATTTGTAATCCACTATTTAAACAACTGCCTTGCTTTCCAAAACTATAAAGTAATGGATAAAAGAACGAAGATGCAACATTTCCAAATTTATTTTTAAATGTTTTAGAAACTTTTGTACTATGTGCGTATCTTTTTGTATTTGATGCAATTCTCTTATCAACAATTTCCCGCCAATTTTCTATTTGTTCCTTCTCTTTTTCAAATTCATCAAATTCATCACTATATAATACCTTGTATTGTTGATTTCTCTCAGTATTAATGAAAAGTGATACTTTGTTTGAAATTTCTTTTGTCCGTTGTTTTATTCTAAAATCGTTATTTACGTCTTCTTTATTTTCGTGAATTGGTATACTCGATAATTGTCTTGCCGATTCTGCTAATATATCAAGAAAAAATAATCGTTGACTTATAGAATATTTATCTACTTCCAAGTAAAACTGTCTAGATAAAAATTCGGCACATTCTTTAGGATAAACAGTTACTATGGCTACACAACTCTTGAATGTTAATACTTCAAAATTTTCTACATAACAAGATTCCTTAAGCGTTACGAGAAGTTCTAATAATTCAATTGCGAAAGACACATCGTCGCCAGGTAATTGAGACAATATCAGTTCCTCGCAAACTTCTAAAGACTCTGAAAAAATATCTGGGTTTGTAGAACTTTTTTCATTTACTAAATTATCACGCAAATCTCGCAAGTATGCTGGTCGCAACTTTTCACTAGTTTTCGTATCATGGGACATATCATATGGTACTAAATCATCGTCGCTATCTAATTCTGAATCATTTTCGATATTGTTTTTATTTGTGTCATTATCTTTTAAAGTTTGTTTATCTAATACAGTTGATTTCCTTGAATTAGCCATAACTAAGATTTGCTCATATTTATTATCAACTTTTGCTTTTACATTTTTCTTGGGTAAAAGATTACATTGGATACCCAATTCGTACAGTTTTTTATCTCCCAATGTATTAAATTCAATGTCTTCAATAATTAAATCATCTTCTTTAATATCTTCTCTTTTTTCTGAGTTGTTTGTTTCTAGAGTTAATTTTTTTAATGATTGTACTAAATCTATTACTTCACCAGGCATACTATTGTATTCAAACGAAAGCTTTGGCACATTGTCTGATTCAGATAATTCGTCAACGAAAATTTCCCCAACAGACATTCCTATTGCTCTTAAAAGAATATGCGTAGATTCGAGATGAACAGATATTCCAGAGAAAAGTAACCTTTGAATATTATCTCTTTCATCTCGATTTAAATACTTTTTTATTTTTTTTATGCAGCTAATTATTAATTTTGTAATGTATTTATGTTGTTCAACAGAGGTATGATTTAAAGCACTTTTATCAGCCCATACATCTAGAAGTTTCGTTAATAAATCAATCAAAATATGATTTTCATTTAAAAATTGCGCTAAATATGAAATCAAATTTATTACTAAATTGTCATTATTATAATAACACATTAAAGGAATTTTCATTGTTAATATATATTTCCAATTCGAATTTAATATTATATTGCCAAAAATTGGATATACTCCAAGATTTACATTGCAATATTTCAAAAATAGTACAGCTACTGGTTCTATACTTGACATATCTAAATTATTTAATATATTCTGAATTAAATCTCGATCATTATTTTTATTTTCAAAACACCATTCTGCTAAAATATTAGTAAATGGTAATAAATTCTCTGATTTTGTAGTAATCACTAACTTACTGATTAAAAATGAAAGCAATTTTAGTTCTACTTTAATATTATAATGTAGTCCAATGTTTATGAAACATATTGCATGAGCAACATGAAAGCTTATAATTTTAAGATACGTTTGAGGAAGAAAACTGTCAAATGTCTTATTTTTTAATTTATTAGCTATGCGATTAGGTAACGATATTAAAATTTGCACTGTATTTCGCCATGTTTCGTCAAGTTCTTCTTCTTGCACTATGTTCTGATTTTGATATTTACATGTATTTACTATTGCAGAAAACAAAGATTCACTTTTCACTAATTGTTCCAAAATTATTGAAATGGTAAAAATTTTCCTTTCATCATCTGTTTCTTTCAGAGCAAAGATTAAGGCAGTTAAAGATTCAGCTAATATCGGCAATGTTGCACCATCGATAATCATCAATTGCTTAAGTGTCGAGTCTAAAATATTATCTTGTAAAGGCCAATTATAATCAAATTTTTCAATAATTTCTTCTAAAATTTTTCCATGTAACATAGAATCGATTTCTGGATTAAAATCAAGGTTACAATAGTTTTGTGGAGTGAGTGGGCCTGGTAAAAATTTAATATATTCAGAAATATATGATTTCAATTTTTCCAAGCTATTATAACTTTTGATAGGACCCATGGAACACAATTCTTCCAAAAGCCGATTTGCAGCATGTTTTGAAAGATTTTCAGCTGAAGTGATGATTTTTTCCATCTTGGTTGCTGCAAGGAAAGTCTTTCTTGGGGACATTACATTATCTCTAAACATATCTCCAATATTAAAGCATGCATAAAAGTTTGCAACAAAAGTTTATTATTTTCTTCAAATGGAAAAGAAAATGAAAATAATTTGCAGACTAGTGAGCAATAAAAAATAAAATAAGCGAAAATATTGTTTTATAAATAAATATTGTATTAAAATTTGAATTTTATAATCGAGTAATACTATGTAATGTTAATTCATACAAATTTTAAGTATATTTAAATAATTTTTAATTTCAAAGACTAAATATTGTTATTACAAAATTTTGATTAGTATTACTAAATCATAAAACCATAACTACATTCACACCAATAAATAATGTATGTTTACCTCCATGGCTAGCTGTGGCAGGTGTAGAACTCATATTTATAAACAGATTAGTGTTGTTGATATTATTTACTCGCCTATCCATGGAGCCAGTAGTCAAAGAATTTAAGTTATTTAAGTCTGTTAAAAGATCTGTGTTTGAAGGCGCTAAAAAAAAGGATCTTTGTATTAAAATAATTGAATATTAATTAGTACATGATAACTCAATATTATTGAATAACTATCTGTAATGTACCTGCATTGTTATTCTGTAATTGCTGATTATTGAGTACTTGTGGTTGCAAAGTATCAAATACATTACTACTCATACTAGGGTTTTGAGGAAGTGTATTTGTAGGAGTTACATTTGTAAAAGAAGAGATGTTTAATGATTGGGCATTAATAAACACTGCATTATTTACATTATCTGTTATCGAACTATTAATATTTGGTATTATTGCGCCCATTAAATTTGCTTGTGGCTGCACAGGGGAATTAGATATTGTAATAGAAGAGTTGAAAGCTGATGTAAAATCCGCAAATTCATCATTACTATCTTTCGTTTTTACTGTAGGACTAGCAAATGCACTAGTAAAATCTCCAAATTCTGCATTTGCATTTTGAGTTTGTACACTAGGTTGAGTATTTGCTCTTGGGTTAAAATCATCATCATCAATTGATTTGATATTATTTTCATTTTGAGAATCAAAAATATCATTTAAAATGTCATTTTTATTCTTCTGTTTACCAGATAAAGAGTTATTTTGTGATCCAGATATACCATTCTGAAAATTGAAATTATTTGTAAATTTCAACATAAATTACTAAAAATCTATAACTTCTTTTACTTACATTGGATTGTTCTCTTCCATAATTTGCAGCGGCTCCTAAGTCTACTTTTTTAATAGTTCTTGTCATTCTTGCTGGTGAAGCATTTGTTGAAGTTGTAGATGTTGTAGTTTTACTAACACGATCTATACTATCCATTGTATCTCTATATTCCCTTCCTCCCCTTTTTGGGCTGGGATGAACATCATTATCGGAGTCTTCTCTCTCGCCATCATCACTATTACAAAAAGATAAAAAGAAGCAATACTAAAGATGTTTAGTTGTTATTAATGAAAACATAAAATTTAATATTCACCTATTATTTGTATCCTCGAAACCTTTTCCTCTACTATCTCGATCCCAATCATTGTAAGTATCTGTATTAGTTTTATCCCACTTTAGTCTATCTGTCCATCTATCCCCTCCACCAAATCTCACACTCATTGCTTCACTTGATAAACCTACATATTTATCTTTATTTTTCTTAGCTTTTTTCCTTTCTTCTCTTAATTTGTCATCATCTTGAATAAAATCAATTAATTCTCTAACTTTGTGCCTAATATTTATCCCTTGATCTTTTCCAAATTCATCAATACAAGTATAATTTTCTAAAGACTTGAGGTCATAAATATGTTCTCTAGATGATGTGACTACTCGTTCTGATCCATTGCGTACTAAATAATTCAGTAGCAGAAGAGACTGAAAACAATAGTATGCAAATAATTATTTAAATATAGATATTAACAAAAATTTTATGAAAATAAATGGCTATAAATATTAATACAACATAGTACTATATACTACTAGTAAGTGATTGTATTATTGATTATTGTATGATTTACTCTTGTTTCTTTATAATTTCATTAAATACTTTATATAAGATAAACCAAATATTTTAAGAAAATGTTATTGATAAAATATATATTTATCTAATAAATAATACGAATTAAATATATTTATGGTAAAAACGGATATACCTTGTATGTTCGACGCCAATTTCGTTTATTTTCTTGCAACATCCTTTTCCACAACATGGACATTACCTCGGGAAATCGCTGATATGTGAATGTAGCCTGAGCCAGTTCTTGCATCATTGCCCCTGAAGTAATACATGCGGTACAATTAATTTCGCCATATGTCGAACTTCAGCAAAGAATAAAATTATAAAAAATTCGATAGAGAGTTACGATAAATTTAAACAAATTTTGTACAAGAAAATTTAGTAACTTTTAAAATAATAAATTATCAATTTATTACTGAATAACGTCACAACACAAAATATAATATATCTATAATTTTAATTAATTACGTTAGTAGTCTATAAGTACAATTTTTAAGTAATCTTTTTGTAAATATTTTTAAATTTCCTTATATTTTTATTTTTATGTCGCGTAAAATTGATAATAATATTTAATTCATGTTAAAAAAGATATAACTTAATAAATTTCTATCAATATAAATTGTTATAATATAAAAATATAACTGGAGTTGTAAGTATAGAAATAAAATAATTTTTCTATTTAATTATTAATAGTTAAAAATTAGTCGAGTAAAAATATTGAAACATAATTGACAAAAATAAATGTTTGCTTTTAAAAAGAATGCGTACTCTTTAAACACATCTTTATAATTAAAAAAAAAAGTAATTTTATTTATTTTTTACTAACCTTAATAAAAATACTGATATATGCTTGTTTTACACAATTCCCTGTGCATAAAAATAATATACTGATAGTAAAAATAAGATTGGATCAATAAATGTTATTCTACCTTTATAACATTAAACTTTACTGTCACGATAATTTTAACTTAATAATTCAATTTATTTATTTACAAATATCCTGTATAACAATTCTTGAATTACATTATCAAAATAATTTTACACATTGTGCATTATAAAGTTTACTAATATCATAATTAATAAATATTTAAAAGAATATTTGTTTAAATAGTTATTAAAATTTTAAAATATGTACCAGTTGGACCCCAAGCATCATCATTTGTTGCTTCCCGAACTTTGGCCTCTGTTTCTGTGTAGTTCATAACTACATTGGTCCTATAACATCATATTTTATTTTTGTTAGTATAAATATATCGAATAGTAGTTATATTTTGTGATGTATTGGAAGTTCCAAAATAGAACGTATGAAATAATGTAAATAATAATACCATTAACGTTAAAGTAAAATTACTTTCACTGTGTTCGCGTGGATCATATGAACACCTGTTAATTGCGCAATATTTTTACGCCTCTGCTTGCACACAATACTTTTCTGTTTTCAGTTACTAGTAGCATATGTTTCATCGTACGAAATTTCAGTATTTATATCATGCAAAAGAATTATTTCTACAAAATTCTATTCATTGTTATATTTATCTTCGACTAAATATTTTTTTGATAAGAAACGATAGTGCAGCATAGACTATTCGCGTTCATTTTAAAATCGAAAGTTCCATTGCAGGTGAAAACGATCTTATCGTGTTTTTGCTGAATACATATGTAGAAAGAAATAAAACGGCGAGAGCAAAAAAAAATATTAAATTAGTAGAGGTATGCAATTACGTAATAGCTTTGTTTACACTTTATAAATCTTCCTGATTTTTATATGTGTATATACATATATATGTATGTATAAACAAAATAAAATAATA